AGATGTCTGTGCTATAACGTATTTAATCTAAAAAATTTACATAACCGTTTGTATACATATGTAGATATAATACGTTAATTATATGTACATATATAACTTATAAATATGTGCATAGGCAACTTCAAGTTCTCTATAAAGCAAGAATAGATATTTAGTTGACCGTGATAACTCTGTGATACCCGTACGAAGAAATTATTTTAGGTGTCGGAGATAATTGACATATAGTTTCATACAACCTCTTGCTTATGCCTAATATCATTTTATACCTACATTATGTGATAGTTACCACATAAATCTAAAGGAGTTTTACTGAAAATGATGGCATCACAAACCAATTTATTCAAATTTCAGCTTTGCAGCTTTAATAATTTCTGGGTTATAAACAAATAACTTATGAGATTGTATGGTAGCTACCACAATCACTCGGGAAATTTTAACGTCTTTTTTCAAACACATTAATCTTACGAATATATTCGCTTGTGCAAAATTAAAACACCATAGCTTCTATACTTTCTGAAATATACCCAAATAAATTTTGAAGTTGTATGGCAGCTACCTAAACCAGTACCTCGATCATATTCTATTTGAATAGGGTTCTAGCATTTACTATAATTTGCTAAACTTAGTTCTATTAGTTTTTGAGTTATCGTTGGGACGGACTGACAGACATAATTAACACGACTTAGAATTTGACGCTGATCGAAAAAATATACTTGAGTTTATATCTCAAACCATTATTTCTTAGCATTACAAACAGTAAACATAAATCTCCAATATTGTTGGTCGCATCATTGATTAGGTGAAAACTTATATTACTCGTATATATTACGTATGTATTTTGTTTTCCAGTACAGAATTTTAAATATTGGAATTGTTTTTATTTAGAAAATTACTAAATATTTTTACAGAATATGGGTGATGCAATATTATAAAAAATATTTCTAAATTTCGAAATCATTACAACATTTCGTTTATAGATTTTGATTTTAATAGTTCATTTATTCGTTTATTCTCCAAAATGAAGTATGTATGTATTACTACGGTATGTATTACTGAATTTAGAAGCCAGGGTACATATTTATGTATGTATGTTGTATAAAATTCTAAAATAAAAGACTATATTTTGAACAGCTTTTGTAGTAATTATGTACATATGAAGAAGAAGTAAAAAATAATGCTCAAATTTTCGATGAGAATGCCAAATAATTCAAATTGGAAGAGAATTAAAAAGGCCAAACATGAAAGGTTGAACGACAAACTGAGCAGAAAAAACAAATAAGCACTTGATATAAATGTTATATAACAGCTACACCCTGAAGCAAGTCGATTTTATTGTTGTTTTAAATAAAGTTCTTGTATACGATTTAATTCATAGCTCGAGAAATATTAATGGAACTCCGACGTTATTTACACGACGTCTACAATTTATGGACAAAGCATCATACCTCACTTGCTTCATTCTGTTTATGTATAAATAATTTTGAATCTATAATCAAATTTCTTTTTAAACCTTAATTTTTATTTAAGATCATAAATTTTATAAATTGTTACAAATGAAAGTAGAAAACAATTTTATTTCAAATTTCTTGCTTCGAATAACAACAATATTACAAAAGTTACTTCTTATATTTAATATTTTAATTCTAAATTTAAGGTATACTTGAAAAACCTTTTTTTTACATTTGTAAACAATTTTCATTAATAACGAATTATTTTTATAATTAACATTTTTACATAATTTTCTGTCTACAAAAATTAATAGTATTTAAAAGACTGTTAAATGAAAATTTAAAATTTCACCTACCTGTAAAATATTCTATAAGAAATACATAAATTTTTACTTTCTTAAAGTATGCATGTAATGCAATTGCAATAATTCTTTGTATAATTGGCAAATAACAGAATGTAATAAGAATTTGAACATTTTCAAAATAATTTTATTCTTGAATATTGACATTTTTTTAATTTTATAAAACTATCAAGCACAGAGCTGTAGAAAAACTTGTAAAATCTTCAAAAATTTCATTTGCTGTTGTAATATTTTATTATACTGTTGATTCATAAGTATGTACATATATATGTTTCCTGTAACTGTGTACGTACATTTACTATTTATTTTTAAAATAACAGATTTTTTATTGAATGCATACAAAAACTTATAATCTAACGGTAGAAAAATTAATAGTATTTTTTTCTATATATTGTTTTTTTTTGATATTTTTAATTTTATCATATTCCGTACAAATTGGATGGTAAGTTTCGCTGTTTATTTTATTCAACATTATGTAGTATGTGTAGATATGTATCTGATACAAAAATGGGTCCTGTAACATTCATACTGCTGGTTTGGTTTTAAGTTTCTTGTTATGGTATTCCTTATTGTGTTTCCCCTTATTTAAGCCTTCTTCTATATTCTTAATGGGATGGTTATATTGGCAACACTATGCACTTAAATTTAAAATAATTATGAAAGCAAACCATTTTTTTATGCTTCAATTGAGCAGAAAAGTTTGTGTCTTCCAAAGTTTGAAATTTTCCATAACTTTACTGTTAAAACAGTTTTGGTAGTTTCAGATTGCTAATGATTGTTTTTATTTTACAGAATCATTTAATCAATATTATTTTTCAGCATTTTGTTGTTCAACCTCCCGCAATTTTATACTGCAAACGTTTCAGTGTAAAAATCAAATTAATTTAAGTTTCAATTTCAAGAATATCGAATTGAAGAATGAATTAATTAATCAAATTTACGTGTTTGATGTTAGTAACTAATTTTTTCTTGGATGACATCAGCTTTATTATAAACGTGTTTCTACACCAAATTGTCTTTCATTTTGGAATGAAAACAAATCATAAATATTGAGCTATCAACCAATAAACCATGCTGTTGAATTTTGTTTTTTTTCATCAGATTTAATCTATTTATTTTGTTCTTTTCAAATCTTTTTCAAATGACTCTTCTATGGAATTCTTTACAAATTTTGTTTTCCAAAAATTTGAAACGTCAACCATTTTAATCCTTTCCAGCATCAGTTTCCAACTTCATTATGTTTAACATTATCCAACAGTAGAAATTTATAATACACATAAGATTTCGGAAATAAGAAGAACAATATAATATGTAAAGCCATTTTTTTTATGTTAGTTACTTAACGTAAGTATTCTAAATGGAAATTTCTAATTTGTGACTTAATATTTATAGATTAAGATTAGTATTTATGAAAATCAAGCTGTACAATCATTGAATTCAATTACTTTTGAATAATAATAATAATAATAATAATAGTTAAAAATTTTTTAATTTTTGCTCATAATTATATTAATATACAATCAAAGATTGAAAGTAAATATTTAAAATTTATTTTTTATCATTCTGTATTCATTGTTCCGCCTTACGTATGCTGTAGTTGTGCATTTTACAGAAATAGAAAAATTAAAACGTCTTTTAAAACAGATTGCCTTAAAGAGACAAACCAATGAATTCAGCTTTAGTTTTTCTATTTAATTGAATAGTATTTCTTCTACTGCATTTCGTGTAAAGTTTACAAATATTTAAAATTAATGTCGTCGCTATTATTGTAATTTTTAAAAAACCAATTTTTTTTATATTTAAAAATGTACATTTTCCTTTATGGTTTATTTTTTTTTACAATTTCAAAAATAATTTTAAAATTTAATGAAGAATAACAAATTTAGTTTCTCTAGAAAATTAATAGAAAATTTGTAATCACGAATTTGATGACAAATTTAATGTGTGCCAACAATTTATATCTGATTCTGTTTTCTTATAAGGCTGTTTAAATAATTTTAAAGTTTAGATTGCAAAAATATTTCTTTAATTTAAAAAACAGTAATATTTTTAGTTTTATTTTGCAAAAATTTCTATACAAAAATTTACATTAACCAACCTTATAAATTGTTGGGTTACTGCTTGAATCTAAAAGCATTTTCATACAAAAAAAAAATTTTACATAAATTTTAGTTTTTACTGCTAAAATTTTTTTTTTGCAAAATCAATGGAAAATCAATGAATTCGTGTGGAATTAATTTAATTTTATAGTGATGCAATAATGTAGATTTAATAATATTGTAATTTCTTGGCACTTCTAGATAGTTTTTACAAAGTTCTTTAACATTGTTATTCTTAAAATTGCCATTAAATTACAAATTTTCTATGCTGAAATTCAACGAAAAAAGTTAAAAAAAATAGTATAAGGTCAATTTAAATATTAACCAACTTAACAAGTATCTAGAATTTTTTCCAAATGGTGTTTTCTGTGCGTTTCACGACGCATTTTGTTCAATTCAGAATGCTTGACTTACACTTTTTTTTAAATTATTAGAACGTATCGTAACTGTATCGATACTTTGTAAAAAGTCATTATTATCTTTTAAAGCATTTCATTTCTACAAAAATATAAAAAAAATTTCAAAAAAACTAGTAAGGCATAGTTTTTTGGGACTTTCTCTCTGCTTGCTATAAATTTTTCTCACTTAGAAATACAGGCAGTATTTCACATACTTAGGATATTAACTGCAAATTGGAATTTACAATGAATATTTTTTTTTAAATAAAATCTTTTAATTTTCGATCCGCACATTTTGCATCATTGAAAATTTGAAATTAATTAATTATTTTTAATTTTTTAAATGTCGATACGAAAAATTAAGACATTTTTTTTGTTCTCATTTTTTTTTTTTTTGAAAGTGAAAAATGGAGAAAAATTTTATTATCAACGTTTTTAAAAATTTTAGAAATCAACGTTCTTGAAAAAGTGAAAACAGTAAAATTTCCTGATATATCGATCTAGAAATCCTTTAGACTTAAGTCTACCGAAAAAACTTGAAATTTAAAAATGTTAGAATAAAATCTGGTTTTAAAAAAAAAAAAAAGGAGTTTCCTCATCTGAAATAAATAAAAAGAATGTTATATAAAAAATTTTTGTAATAATAAAGGTTTTTAAAATTGAAAATAAATTATGCGTTCTTAATATCAATTTTTACATTTTCCTCCTTTTTCGTTTTGAAGAAGTTTTTGAATACACATCAGCTCCTTCTGATTGGTAATATCCCATTTGCCCCTGTCTAAAAATTTCCTCTGGAGAAAAACTTCTGATTGTACTTATTGCACTTTTAAATTGTTGTTTTTGTTTAAATGAAAATTTTTCTGAGTTATAACTCTCTTCTAAAACGTCTAAATAAGATGTTCGCATTCCTTGTATATTTTCATAATTTTCCAAAGCGGATTTGCTGAAGTCACATTTATACTGATTTTGGTTGTTGAAGTGGTTTTCTTGATATCTGTCAATAACTCCGCCAATACCGTGCCAATCATTCCCATACTGTGGTACTATTTGAGTATGACCCAAAATGTTGTTAAGTTCTTGAGAATGTTTTTCGTGTTTCTTCAAAAGTTCAGAAACTTGACCTCTAACCACGTGAGCAGCTGGGAATTCTACTGAACCTGAACGATCTTGAGTTTTACTCCGACCCCCTTTGACGATATCATTTCTTTCTAACGATACGTTTGGGTCTTCAGAAATTCTTTGAATTATCCCGTCTACACGCACCATACGTAAGAAACGATCTACAAAGTGAGTATCAACATGTTTTATTCCAAGTTCATCGACAGATGTTGGTGATGATTCTGGATCACTAACTTCGCAAGATTTTCTTCTTTTTTTTTCTCCACCAAACGCGCCTAGTTGCAAAGGAACCGAATGCCAATTTTGTTGAATGTGGTATTGTATTTCAGGGTCTTTTTCAATATGATCTGCAACTGCGTTCCTAAAATCTTGGCTGCTTATACCTCTGAGCTGAGGTACGGCTTGTACTAACGCTTCATACAAGCAGTTATTCAATGAAGAATCGTCTATATTACTTGATGCATTATTATTTTCAGAAAGAGTAAAATGATTATCTTTAATATTTAGTTTAATAATTTGAGTTTCACCTTCATTTGATGTTGAAAAAGTTTGTTGTACACCATTTTCTGTTTCAACAACAACAGTTATATTCTTATTGATTCCTTGATTTTTTAGTATTTTAGTTACTACTTTAGCACATGCGCCAACGCAAGTTATATCCATTTCAACATTTTCTCGAACTATGGCAGCAAATAATTTTGGATTTTTAGTTTTAATAGCCAGTTCTCGTAAACTTTTATGATATTTCTTTGTAATGTGATTTTTAACGTCAGAATCGTCCCCAGATTTTTCATTATTTTGCAATTCTTTTTCATAATCGTTTTTAAGATTTTTATAACGATTAAAATATTCACTTTCTTTGTAATATCTGTATGCCTCTTTCAATTTTTCCCCAGCATAAGTAATTAATTTATGGGTTCCTTTAGTAATAACAGGTTTGACAATGTGTTCTTCTATGAACTGCTCCATTTTTCCACAAATTACTGCTTTTAACTGATCATTTGCATTTTTTTTAAATGTTTCAAAATCTTTTTCATTCCCTTCCATCTCGCATTTGGGATTTTTGTCAGTTTTTATTTTTGATTTACTATTAATTTTTTCTCTAATTTGTATGTCTATGGCATTTAAAGAATCAATAGTTACTTGAGATATTTTCATAATATGATACCCACGTTCTGTCCAACGTAAAGCTTTTGTTAAAATGGTGATAGTAAACATGAAATCATCATCTCTTTCGTTCAATTTTTTGAATCCTTCCCCAATTCCACGAACTAAACTTTCTGCAGCTTTGTTGTATGTAGATAATAAAGTTTCAGTGAAATCTTTTTTTTTTAAATGAGAATCTAATACTTGTCTTAAAATTTCATTCGCTTTGTTTTCACCAAATGTATCGAACAATTCTTTTATACTGGCAGAAATTTTATGATTGTCTATTTTGTTTTTCGTGTCTGATAAAATATCAAAAGCTAGCCGTTTGCAATATGTTCGCAAATTGTTTTCAATTACATAATCAATCCCAGCATTAGCCAAGCTAAATGTGATACCTTGAAAAGTTTTTAGCATAATGCGCTTAGTTACGGCAACTCCTACAGATTTTAAACCCACAGCTTTAATAAGTTCTGAACCATACATTTCTGCAACTTTTTTTCCTTTTATAGTAATATCCGGACCAGCCAATTTGCGTCCATACCGTGAAACTTTTGTGCCAGCGGAAAAAATTGCACCTACACCTATAGTGGCAGCTGTGAACGCTATACTCTGAAGTTTGTGAGTTCCATAATCTTTCCAATTAAAATAACCTGATTTTAAAGCGCCAGCAGCAAACATAATGTCGCTTATGCCCTCGCTAATAACACCAGATGCCAAGTGAGTTGCAAAACCACCGAAGTATAATTCTATTATTGAACCTATAATTATTTGGCTGATTCCTAGTGATATTACTATAAGAGTATTGAAAATCATTTCTCGAGTCCATTTTTTCTCTTCTAGTTGTATTACATCGTTTAATCCATTCAAAAAGAAATTTTCCATTTCTTCTACATTTGAAAAATCGCCTTGATCAAAAAACTTTGTCAATTCTTTTAAATTAAATTCGGGAACTTTATATGCCTTCAATGAACTTCTTACACTCTCTAAAATTTTGGTTACGTTGTTAATAATGTCTTCTTTACATAATTTTTCATCAATAAGATTGCGATTTTTCAAATTGTTTAAAATAGTTTTAATTTCTTCATTTAAAGATTTTTTTGTTCTCAAAACAGTAGCTAATTTAAAAAGCCTTGCTTCCAAAAGTTTAGCTAAGAGTTCACTATAGGGATTACTAGCTAGATTTATCCAAATACAAGAATTGTTTTCTTTTTTTTGTTTTATAAGTTTTTGGAAAGCAATTCTATAAGTAAAGCACGCACGTAAAAGTTCTTGAACAGAATTTTCATAGACAGAACTATTTAAGTGAATGTTTTCAATCTCATCATATTTTATTTCCAGTTTATACATTGTACTTTCTCCGGCATTTTTTATTTTAAGAATATTGTTTTCTACAAGTTCTAGTAAAATTTTTTCTGCCTCATTTCGTTTAATATCTACTTTAGCAAAATCTTCTAATGTGATAAAATCGAAAGAAGGAAAGTTTATAGAATCAATATTACTTAAATCAATCATTGCAGCCTTCGCAAGATTTATCACTCCATCCTTTTCAAGTTTTTCATACACATTTGCTTCAATAAACTTTAAAAAACAGTCTTTCTTGAAAATTTCGAAGTCGACTTGAGCAAATGTAACTGCTTTTTCTACATCAAAAAATACGATTCCGTCTTCAAAGTTAATTTTTTCTTTCATTAAGTTGCTTTTATTTTTTTCGTCAGTTAATGTTGGATCCAGTTCATCAAACTTTTTCTTATTTAGTACAATATATTTGGATTCATCTCTTAGAATATTTTCCTTTAATAGAAATTCCCAAAATTCTTCCTTATTAGGTAACCTTATTTCTTCCTTTAACATTTTTTCAAATTTTTCTTCACTGCTAATATTTTTACATTTTAAAAGAAAATCATTCAGCTTTCTTGCTGATATTCCATAACCTACGGAGATGTTTGCAATTTCCTTTTCGGAAATATTTTTTTTTACATGTGGCTTTTTTAAAATATTTTCTTTAATTAGTTCTTCATGTATACATTTGGATGATTTCTCATCAGTTATTTCATGAAATTGTTGCAAAGTTATAAACTTACCAAAAATTTCATCAATGGAACTTGAAAAAAGTTGATATAAAGCGACTTGCTTGTTTTTTTGTTCTTCATATGCATTAATTTGAACAATGCCTTTACTCTTATTTTTTACTTTACCAATTACTCCAGCGTAATACATAAAGAATTTACAATTTTCATCGAAAAGTTTCGCAGCTTCACGTAATTCATTTTTGAATTCTTTAACACTTTTCTTATTTTTTTCTGCCGAAGACTCCCAATCAATTTGTTTGGCAATTGTATATGCTTTATAATAATGTGCCGCCTCGGAAAAGCTTGGCTCTTGTTTGATTATATTATTGAGTAAATTTATACTTTCGCCAAATTTTTCATTACGAGTAAAAAACTTTGCAAGTTTAATCATTTTAACCGGACTATCGCTTACCCAATCTTGTAAGTTTTGAACACTATCGCATTTTAAATTTCTTAAACATTGAAGAAATTCTCTCAACGAATTGTTAAAAAATATTGTTACTTCACTATTTTTTAATGTTTTTATCTGCAAACTATGTTTATTGAGCCAGAATGCCCACTTGTCCAAACAGCTTTGTAGAAGAAGCTCTCTAAGTTCATTTTTGTATTTCAGATTTTTCAAATCATATTTATTTGGCATTTCAGTGAGACCCAGAGTATTAGCAACATTAACTGCTACATTTTCGATTTCTTCAACCACCGATTTATCTTCCAAGGCAATGGATAATGATTTATTCAACTGAATATATTCCTCTTTGAAATTTTTAAAGCAATTTTCTTCAGTAATAATTTGAGTTTCATAATAAGCTTTAACTTCTGATATATGATGCAATTCTTCTGCGTTACGTTCAGCCTTTAAAGCAAATATTTTGGAATTATTTAAGTTTTCTTGTGTCGCAGTTTTAACAATCAATTGGCCTGAGCCTTTATCGCCACATCTTCCTGCCCGACCAAAAGCTTGTTCTTCTATGCGAACATTTTTGGGTAAGTAAGTTAAACAAACATGCAACCCTCCTGCCTCTTTTAATTTCTCTTTTAGTTTTATATCTGTTCCTCGACCAGCTAAATTTGTTGCAATAATAATTTGATTTTGTTCTAATTCTTGATTTCCTTGAGCAATATTAAACTCTTCATAATCTCGTGTATATGTATAAATTTTATTCTTAGTTTTTTTCCCAATAAAGTTGTATAAAGAATCAACATCATTCACAGTCTCACAAATTATCAAAACCGATCGATTTTCGTTTTCCACAATGGATTTTGTTTGTTTATAAATAGAATTTATCCACTCTTCTTTGGTTGAACAAACGATATGTTCACTTTTAACAAACTGTTTTGATCTGGCTGTGGGAATAATAACGAAATCAACGTCATGTAACTCTTGCAGAAAATCCTTTTCTCTTTGTGATCCTAAAGTTCCTGTCATCCCATAAAGTTTTTTATACATTTTAAAGAAGGATACGTTCGAGATAAAAACTGCTTTTAAATTTTGTAGCGATAGTTTACATCCGTGTTTAAGCTGTAAAAATTGATGCAACGCTTCATCCCATTGTGAATTTGATTGATCTGTTCCCGTATCCCTATCAATTATGGTAATATTAGGATTACGATCAGGGTTCATTTTTGTTCTATCTACATCGACAACGTAATCCTGTCCAGGTTTCATAAAAAATGCTGTGATGGCACTGGAAATCCAAGTCTCAAGATGTTCTTCCACAAATGGTTTTAAATAATTTGGGAGTCGAACTTGTTTTTCTCTTTCCAAAAATTCCTTAAAAAAATAATACGCACATTCGGTATAGCATTCAAATTCAGTAGAAAAGGCATTAATAAAATTTTTCTGAGTAACATTTTCCTTAATAATTACACCATGATGATCTAATATTTCAACTCTCAGAAGCCGTTCCCAAATAACTTGTATTTGTTCTTGACTTAGTTTAGAATCAAATTTCTTTATATCGTCTCTTTTGACTGCATCATATAATTGAGATAAAATTGCTTTTTTTATTACTTTTACGTTAAATACATTGGACAGTTCACTATAAGAACTTGCTGGTTTATTAACCCATTGCCAAATATAAACGTAAACCGACTCTAGTTTATCAAAATCTGGCATGTCATGTGATAAATATAGCATGTTATTACCTTTATCAAGCAACATGCTGTCTACTTCGTCAACGATGATGTTTTCACGAGCACGATCACCCAGAATATTTTTTTGATAAAATTCATGTAGCAAATAGTCCCGTTGAAAATTAGATAAATCTCCATATACCACATTACTCCAATAGGATTTTTTCCTTATTTCGATATCCTCATTGCAATTATGTGATACACTAATATTAAATAGGCTATAAATATCTTTATTTTCTTCAGCGTCTCGTTTTGCCAAAACAGAAGAACTGGTTATGATATCGACTTTTTGGTTACAAAGTGCTTTGGCAATCGATATTGCTACAACAATTAAAGATTTACCTTCACCAGTACAAACTTGTGCTAATGTATTACGTTTATTCAATAATAAAGTTATTACAGCTAATTTTTGTGTATCACGAAGCTTGAACTTTCTTTTCAATTGTATTGCTCGATCGATTACTGCTACTACATCTTGAATATTTTCAAGAATAGCACTACCTTTGGCTTTCTTTGCCCAATTCTGAATATGGCTTTCTTCAAAATTATTTGAAAAATCAGTAGGAAGCAATATTAGTTTTTCAATTTTTGACAATATTTCACAAATTCCTTTTGACGTATTAGCATTCTTTCTTATTAATTTGTTTAATTGGGTTACATTGCGTTCTCTTTCGTTAACGAAAAATTTCTCATCCATTTTTTTGATCCAATCTTCAATCTTGATGTTTTTTATTTCATTTACCTCTTCTATACCCAAAATCCATTTTTCGTTGTAAAAATTGAACAAAATATTAATGAACACATGTGATGATGTATTTTTATTTCGAAGAACTTTTAAAAATTCCTCTATTACACTAGTTCCAGTAACATTTTCTATAGAAAGGAGAAAATAAGTAGCTTTTGATATATCTTCATCATTAATATTAGTGATTAAAGATGATATTTTATGTCTCCAATAACTTTCTTTAAGAGCATATGGCCACTCAGATAACTCTAATTTTTCTAAATTTTCGGTTGATTTCAGTGGAATATTACTCAACAAATATAAAGTATCTTCAATACACTGACAAGAAATTGAAATTCCACTACTACACTCGTCTAATTTTTTATAAAACAAAAGCAATATGGTTTTATTTTCAATTCCGTTTAAATACTTCCTCCACTTTATTTTCTCTTTCAACAATCTTTTGAAATAATCTTCAATTTTTAACAAAATTAATTCATCTATCCAATTTTTTTGAGAATGAGCTGATATAACCCAATCCAAGATATTTAATTCATTTTTATCTTCTGATACACATTCAAGAATTGAGTTTATTAAACAATACATTTCCTGACAAGATATATTTCTCCCCTCATACATGAGACGCTGTGATATATGAAATAAAATGTCACTATTCCCAATGAACGTCAATTTTTCAAGCCTTGAGTTTAAATCAATTTGCTCATTTTCAGGAAAACATTGTGAGATCGTCTTCATATATTCTTTTTCATGCAAATGTCGTTCTTTTTTTATTTTTTCATTTTCAATAAATCTTTTATAGTTCAAATTTTCTAAATAGCTTAGTAATCTTTCGTTTTGCTCAAAAGATCTATGATCAATAAAAACCTTCGAATACAGCATTTCTTTTGTTTTTATTTTTCGACTAGGGTTCAAATAGTTTTCACCAATAAAAAATTGTGTGAATTTCTTATCTCTATACAACACATAAATACTTTGCTTGGAAAATGGGTTGTGATTATTTTGCAAGACTAATTTATTTTCTTTTCCTACCATATAAAGATTTATATTAACGTCATATATATATGCCAACAATTCTCTATAGCTTTCCGAAAATAATTGTTGTTTTTTTATATGCTTTACATATTCCCTGTATATTGATTCATCCTTCAAATAATCGGAATTTAAATCACATAATTGTGCACTATTACTCAATAAAATCTGCTCTTTTCTAAGCGAATTATGATATTTTTTATAAAGTTGTTTTATAATGTCATTTGTTTCATTCGAATTTCCGACTTCCAAAATGAAAGTTCTTAAGGAACAATACAAGCTTTTAAAATCTATTTCAAAGATATCGAAAGTTTTGTTTTCATTGAAAAATTTATTTTTTTCTAAATAACTATCAAACTCTTCTTTTTGTTTTAATTGATAAATCTCGCTTAAAATAGAAGCATAAAAATAGTTTTCCTTTAGACGACTTCTTTCAAGCTTGAAAAAATTTTCATCAACATGTAATTGTATAAATTTTCCAAACTCAACTACTAAATGAACACTATTTTTACAAGAAGGATTATGATTGGTCAATAAAAAGGATTCCTCCTCATCGTTTTCATACAAAATGATATTTACATCAAATATACGAGAAAGTATTTCCCTATAGCTATTCGATTTTAAACCAATCTTTTCAATGTAACTAGTAAATTCTTTTAATAGCAATTCATTTTTCACACATTCGTCTTCTAATTCCGAATATGGTTCTAAGTCTGTACTCCATTGCAGCTCTTGGTTTTTCAAAAAATTTTTCAATTTAATATAATATTCTTGAATAAATTTTTGTTTTTCATCTATTGCGTTAGTTTCTCCCAATTCAAACACAAATATTATTAAGCAACGTTTTAATGTAACGTATAGTCCTTCATCTTTTTTAATGTTAAGACAAAGTTTAGAGATTGTCTTGCGCAGTTCTATATTATCTTCATTAAAATATCGAGATAATGGTTGCAAAGCAGGATGAATAATGCTGTTACAATTTTCTTTTTTGTCAGTCAAATATTCTAATAAGTCAATGATACAATCTGAACTATTTTCAACACGCCAATCAATTGGTAAAAATTTTACCATTTCTTCCAAAGAAGCTAATCTATATTTCTCGATTAAAATGCTGTATATAATACGTTGCAAGCTTTGAAAATTGTCACGTTCTTGGACATTATGTATTTTATTCGATAATATTTGAAAAAGTTTATTAGCTTCCAATATATTTATATTAATATTTTTTATTTTTAACCATTCCTCGGTAACGCAAGGATTTTCATTTAAATTTTTAAACAAAACATCATTTTTAGTGTCTTGGTTAAAGATTTCGCTTACTTTATTGACAGGCGCTCTTTGCAGTTTGTTTGTTTTTCTAGGATTAAAAGTTTTTTGAATTCTTATTTGTATACTGCGGTTCTCTTTCTGTTCTTGGTTATCAATAATTTTTTGTAAGCTTTCTTTAGTATTATGAAATTCAGATGTTAAATTTTGAAATTCAGATGTTTTTACAGAGGAAAAATAATGTGAATATTTCGCTAAAATACTATCTTCCGATATAAATTTTTTTCTCGTAGCACTTGCATGCCTCTGTCGATCACTAACTAATTTGCTACCAGTTGCTTTCTTAAAATTTTTCTCATATTTCTGAACATTCCTACGAGTTTCAACTGTAAGATACTTCTCTTTGTAAGAGCAATATATACTACTACCAGGATCATTATTGCGATACACAAGATTACACTTACTATCTTCATTTTTACCATAAAATATCGGCTCACTCCAAAATTGATAGTCAATATATGCGATATCCCAGCCATCTTTACCCCATTTACCATATAAACCTCCTTCTCCGTTCTCCCCATCATTTCCTACGTATTGAATTTTTTTGACCTTAATATTTTCGTTATTTTGTGTATTTTTGATGCATATGTCACCAAAATATCCGCCTTGACCACCCAAACCGCCATTACCACCCTTCCCACCTGGAACACCTGGTGTTCCTTCGTACAAAATACAGGCTCCCATTCCTATCTCACCTGAACTTGCATTGAAAACGAAAGTAATTTTATTTCCCTTTTCGGTTTTTGCTTCCATAAAAATAGCACCTTGAAATATATTACGATTACTGCTCCAATTCGTTAATATTTTTGTATTATCCCTCACGCTTTCAATATTTTTATCTATAAGGGCTTTTCTTCCATATCCAAACTTAAAGTCAAATAATAAGCATGGTGGTGGGAATGCATTCTCAAATTGATACCAACGAATACCATCACCATCTTCACCATTCCTTCCGTGACCTCCATCTTGTCCTTTACTACCATTTCCTCCTGTCGACCATATCGTAAAATTTTCAGAATTTTCTATTATTTCTGAAAGTATTAGTACATTTCCACCACTCTCGCCAGCATATCCGTCTTTCCCCTCCTCACCATTACCATCACTTCCAGTGGACGCATTTTTGGAATAAGCGAAATTCTCGGGTTTTCCTGAAAAGTTCCAAGTAACCTTACCATATATTTTTATTTTTCTGGCATATATAACCATATTTTTTCCATGCCAAATATTGTTTACTAAATCCCTATCAATATGAATTAGATCAGCACCAACAAGCCTAACTTCTTCAATTCTAGAATTTTTTGAAAGCAAAAGCTCTAATTCTTTTAAAATTCGACTAACAAAAATGTTTTTTCCATTTATTTCAATAATTAAACGACCATCAATTTCTTTGGTTTCAAAACTTATTTTTTTAGTATAAGCACGTATGACTTCTTTTAATTGATCATATAAGTAAAAACCACTATCTTCAATTAAGCAAACGGCGGAGTTTTGTAGCGGCAAAAATTTTTCTCCACAAACGCGTTCATCGAAATTTCTTATAACATTAATTAACATCGGCAACGGTAAATCAATATCATTCACTTTTTCTAAAGCATCAATAAATGATTGAGGATAGTCACATGTTTTTAGGAAATCTATGAAATTATGTAAAAATGTCAATTGATTTTTAAAACTATCACTATAAGTAGACAATTCTTCAAGGCAATTCCTTTTGAAATAATATATAATTTCATTCTCATCCATATCATTTAGTAAGGCAAAGTGATTCATTAAAATTTTGTAGTATTCCTGTTGGTTTAATGATTTTGGAATATCTTTTAAATAACGCATTCCACCAACTGAACTGAAAATTCCTTGAAGAATTGTATGGCAATTATTTCGATCATATTCTTTTAACAAATCAGTATTTCCTTTAAGCCAAAGTTCAATACAATTTTCCAAAAATTCTCTTTCGATAAAGGCACTGTCAACGTTATTGAGTGTTATTTTATAAAAATCCGAAATAAAAGTTTTAATTTCTTTTAAATCATTTTTGTATTCTTCAATTCTTGTTTTGATAATTTCTTTAACAGTACGTTCTTTATTTTCATTTACATTTGTATTTAGATTTGCACACCGTACAAAAAGATTTTCAGCTGCTTTCACATATTTTTCACTTATTATATTTTCATTCCCTAATTTGTATGCTTCTGATAAATACATTGATACATCCGCCATTAACCACAAATCTTGAGAACTATGTATTGCTAACATGTCTTCCAATGTTATAATTAATCTTATTAGTCTTAAAGACTGCACTTTACTTTCAAAAACAGTTTTTTCATTGCAAGATAGGCGTTCGAAATTGATCTCATCGATATACCCCAAATTGACACATAACGTAATATATTCATTCAAATTTAAAATTGAACATTGAATTAATTTTTCTTTTTTTTTGTCTATTTCAGTTAAAAACTTTTCACAATCATCTTTTAATTGTTGCGTTTTTTCAGAATATTTTTCTTTTGGAATCGTTTTTAAAATCTTGATACATTTTTCAAAACACACTTTAACGCCTTCCAAATCAATTTTATATTTTTCGAATAAATTTTTATTATAATAACAAGCTATACCGTAATAATGATAAGCTAAAATTTCACAATTTTGTAAAAGCAATGGAGTTGTTTTACTACAATCTTCTTTTAAATTTTTCTTTAATTCTTGATATTTCTCATGTATTTCTTGTAAAAAAGATGGTAACAAGAGTTCATGTTTTGAGAAATTCTTTATTAAATTTAAATATTCAATAGATTTTTGATAATTAAATAAAGGATGTATATTATTTAAGTTATTTATTACTTTTAGTTTTGCAACTTCAAATTGTTCTTGTCTATTATTTACGTTCGACGCGGT